ACTTCTATTTCAAAAGGGGATGCTTTTTGTCTTTATCCCTGAATTCTGGATTGTCCATCTATGCTGATGCATAATGAAGCCCTGAGGCTTGAAACTTGCAAACCAGTAAGATGATTTCATGATGAAACTGCATGTTAGTTTGACACTGTCTATTAATAGTCCTTAAGTAAGCTTAAAGTTGAGACAGCTTTTACAAAGCAGTATGTACTTCTAGTTTTGCTTCCTTATCAGTGGAGCTTGAAATGTCTATTTCTGCATACTTTTTAAAACATTTGTAGTTTTCAGTGATCTGAAAGGTTTTGTGTATATCTCTTAGTCTGGATACTTTTTAAATCAGTTCTAATGTGGCTGCATTCAAGATTCATTTTTTGAAGCCAAAATTCACTCTTCACATCTGGACTAGATTGGACAGAGTGAGGAGGCCGGGCAGAGAGTCCTTTTTGCCCTGTGGACAGCTCTGGACAGCTTTCTTAGAGAGTTGACTTGTCCAGGATTAGGAAAAGTATGCTTTTGCATGACTAAGTTCTTTCTAAAGTTTTCTTGTGTAAGCATTTTATGTTTTTTTTTTTTTTTTTTGAGACAGAGTCTCGCTTTGTTGCCCAGGCTAGAGTGAGTGCCGTGGCGTCAGCCTAGCTCACAGCAACCTCAAACTCCTGGCTCAAGCAATCCTCCTGCCTCAGCCTCCCAAGTAGCTGGGACTACAGGCATTCGCCACCATGCCCGGCTAATTTTTTGTATATATTAGTTGGCCAATTAATTTCTTTCTATTTATAGTAGAGACGGGGTCTCGCTCTTGCTCAGGCTGGTTTCGAACTCCTGACCTTGAGCAATCCGCCCGCCTCGGCCTCCCAGAGAGCTAGGATTACAGGCGTGAGCCACCGCGCCCGGCCTTGTGTAAGCATTTTAGATTTAAGAAAGTTCAGCTTGAATTACATTTGAATATAGAGTAAAACAACTTCATTTAGTTGGATAATAGCATTCTGTAACACACCAATTATTTATCTCCTAAATAGCTTTCAGAAAGCCCTTGACTGGAAAATATTTTTCACTGGTATGGCTTTATTCTGTTCTAAAAATACTAGGGGCTAAAATGTTATTAAAAACTTGGATGCTTGTACTTATTTTATGTTGTTTCACAAGGTGAAAATGTTTTATTTTGTAAAATGTCTGGAATCCACGAAGTAATTCTGCTTTTTGCTTCCTAACACAAAGGTCTGAGAGAAGGCATGTGGCCTCATTGGCGTCTGGGTATTAAACTCAATTCTCTCTCAAGTACCGAATGCCCAGCTACATTTACAGGGATGCAGGAGTCTCACTTAAATGTTGATTTTTACTAATATAAAGAGAAACCTCTTGATTAAAGTGTGGGGAGGTGTAAGTCATACTAATTTGGTCAGTTTTAGCCCTAATAATGGCTGATTTGCTGTGAAAGGGGAGCATGTTCTAAGCTAATGTTCTTAAAAGCAAGTTACGAATTTCTCCTTAAAAAATATTTATAAAAAAGCTGTTTCAGGAAAAGCTGTTTTATTGCATGGCTCAGATTAAATGTACAGGTGTTATCTTAAAACTATTAAGGAATTCCCTTGCAAATTTGAATATTCAATACTAGCTGTTATTCACATCAATATTTTAATATTTTACTATCAATAGATATAATACAAAGGATTAATACATATTTAACTGTTTAGAGTGCTAGTTAAACTTGTTCAAATGAGTAAGAGGAAAAGGGAAACAACATTCCCTGAGTGCCTACTACGTGCACAAACTCTACGTATCTTGCCTAATCCTTACAATGATGTCTTGAGGTAGATTTTAATTCTCATTTTACAAATGAAACTAAGGCTCAGAGACATTATATAACTTCCTTGAAGATACATAGCTAATAAGTGGCAGAATTGGAATTTGAATCTAGGTTTGCCTTACTACAATGCCTATGTTTTGCAGAAAACTCTCCTCTTGTATTTCGTAAATTGTTAATCTCAGCCCACATTTGAATTATCATTTTTATGGGTTATTGGGGAGACATATAAGTTGGCAAGCCTCTGTTCCACAGTGGGAAAATATGAGTAGGTTTTGAATGAGATAAGAGTGTCTTAGCTTTCAGTGTCTTATTTGTGCTGCTGAGGGAATGTTTTTCTGTTTCCCTCTTCAACAGCAGAGTATAGTGGGAGAATATTTTGAAATTGAACTCAGTCGTGAGGTTTGAACTTTTCCTATTATCAGTTACCTTCAAGCCAGGTGATTTGTGACCATTTAAAGGTTATGTTATTTAAAAGCCTTTGCTGGATCTTTAGAAAAGGACAAAGGGAGGGTTATTTAAGGAGTACCACAATGAGAATGTAGAGTGTAATGTGCTAAGGCGGGACTAGCAGTTGCTTTGAGATAGTTGGGGAAAATGATTAGTGAATATTAAAATCAGTGACAGGAGCAGTTTTGGTTCAGTTATGATTTAAGAGTAAAAGTTCAGGGGCCTTATGTGGATTTGTATCCAGATCCAATGATTTAATCTTGAGAAGGACGATCCAGTGATTGAACTCATGCCAGGAGATGGCCTGCAGCCTGCTAAATGTCAGGTTGCAGTTTCCATTGTATTCAAGAAAATTAGAAAGATAAATACAACTTTTTGAAGAAACTTTAAGCTTTCTCCCATTGACATTTAACCTTGGGGATCTCATACTTCTAGAATTACTTAGACCTGTGCTGTCAAATATGGTAGCCACTAGCCATCCATATGTGGCTACTGAGCACTTGAAATGTGACTAGTCTGAATTGAGATGTGCTGTAACTATAAAATACACCCTGGATTTCAGACTTAATAAATAATGTAAATAATTTTTTTCTGTTGATTACATGTTGATATGACAATATTTTGGATATATTTGGGTTAAATAAAATGTATTACTAAAAGTAATTTCACCTGTCTTTAACATGGCTACTGGAAATTTTATTTATTTATTTATTCTTTCATCTGTCTAGGTATCTATGACTTTCTGATGGAAATTTTTTAATTATACATGTGGCTCAGATTATATTTCTGTTGGATGGCGCTGGGTTGGAGAATAGGCAATATTCACTGAAGTTTTCTTCTAGAGGCAGTGCTTTAGAGTGGCAAATATGGAAAGATTCTCAGTGCCAGCATTCAGTAGTCCATCAAGTCAGGTATAGTTTTTCCCTCTTCCCCTCAGATGGTTCTAGGGTGGTATTTTGACTATTAGAACATTCCCATTTATTCAACACTTTGGGTACATACGTGGATGTCTTTTATGTCAATCACTTGATCAAAGCATGTTTTCCCTAATGCAAGTCTGTAAACAGTACAGTGAGGGCACTTATTCTTCTTATCTCTGTAAAATCTGAGTCATTTTTAAGTCCCACTCTTTATGCCAGGGCTTTTGCCAAATTGCCAAATAATGGCATAGCCAATGTGGCTATTCTTGCTTGGAATCAGTGAAAACTACCCCAGAAATAGGAATTATGTGGTTAAAAGGAAGCATTTATCAAATCCAGGAGTTTTAAGACAAAAGGCCATTATATTCTAATAATAAATTATGGTTCATCTTATTGCTTATGTAAACCTTATGTGAAATGATTACTTGACTCCCTGTAATGAAGGAGTTTGGGGTCCTTTTGCTTTGCACAAAGCACCATGCCTAGTGTTAACCTCATAGATACTCCATATATACAAGGAAAATTATATAGATTCCACACTAAGTGGATTTTTTTTTATTATGGTAGAAACCCTAGCTACACTGACATTTCATCATTTCATACTTTTCAAACAATTCATTTTCCTCATTATCCTTTAAGTGCTCTGTAGTATTTTATCTTTGATATTAAAGTTGAGTATGATTAAATTTGGGGGGAATATTTTTTGAGGGGAGGAGTTGGTAACATTTCTGAATTTCTGTGAATGCCAAAAGAAAGCTAAACTTACATAAACATGCTGTTCACATAACTATACAAGCATGCACTGGATGCATTTGAGTCAGCCTGTATCAAAAGGAACACAATGTTCTTAACAAATGAAGGGGAAACTGGTCATACATCACTAGACTCTGCTTTCCACAACTTTTCTAATATAGGTGTGCCCTGCTTTAAGGAAACCCAATAGATGGGTTTGTTTAAATGCATCATAGAAAAATCTGGGTATTGTAAATCACATTTGATACACAAGCTTTTAGCTACACCCAAAATGCCAGGGTCTAAATCTATTATTACATATTTTGCTCAAGGTTCAATGTTTTACAGAAGGAAGATCCAGTGAACTATTCATGCAAGGAGATGGCCTGGGGCCTGCTAGAAGTCTGTTTGCAGTTTCCACTGCATTTGAGATAACCAGAAAAATAAATACAACTTTTAGAAGAAACTTCTTTTCTCTCATTCACATCTGTCATGAGTGGGGTCTTATACTTCTGGAATTGCTTAGACTTGTGCTATCCAATATAGTAGCCACTAGCCATATGTAAAGTATATTCGCAATCATGATCAATTTCCATTAGACCTACCTTCATTCTTTCTAACTCTCCCCAGTAACAGTGAGGTTAGGGTTATAGTTTTTGTTACTTTTCTATGTAAAGCGAATTGACATATATAGTGATCAAATCTATAACTATTGCTTCTGTAGTATTATTTTCCCTGTTACCAATTCAGATTTTATCTATAAGACTGAGTATAAATGAGTTCCAAAAGACAGCTTATTTAAGACAACTAGCATTTTATATAAAAAAAATCGCATGAATAAAAATATGATCAAGAGCATCAGTTTGGTTTTAAAAAAGCAATGTTAACACCCATTAACAAAACAAACAATGGAATGCATTCTCCAACATTTATCGTGATACTTTGACACACTAATGTAACTGAAGATAAATGCAATAGGAAATTTTTATATTGGTGTAGGGGGCAAAGTGGCATGTTACAAACTGTGTTATACTGAGAGACTGTTTATCACTGTACTAACACTGAACACTATCTGTAGTAATTACATCTGAAACCACATATTAGGGTGCTTGATAAAGGGGTTTTATTATTCTTCAAAATTAATAGCCCATCTTAACCAAAAGCCCCAAAATCAGAGAAATTAAAACAAAGGGTTTTTACACACTAATCTGAGGATCAATAATTTCAAGCCCAGGACCTCTTGAGGGAATTCTCTTTTGGGTTTGCTAAAGCTGTATGAGACCATTACCATTAGGCCAGTTACAGGAAATATTGATTTCTAAAATGTCACAGTCTCACACTATGGTGGCTTATAGATCTGATAATACAGCATGTGCTGGCCAGATTATATGACAAGTCAGCTCCAAGTATCTCACACATTTATAGCACAGGCGTCTTGCATCCACCACTGGGTTAAGTTTCTGAGTAGTCACTAACATTAGGCAAATGAATGGTAATCCAAGGTAGATAGTGAGCTTAGGGCCTGTGCACAAAAAACAGATATGGTACAACCATGAACATGGGGAAAAAAAAATCTCTGAATTTGACCAAGGAAACATAAACCAGGACAGACTCAACTCTAGCAAGTGAAACCATCAGATGGCCCAAACAAGTTCTTCAAAGGAGATTTATATAGAATTAATTTGCTGAACAGGAATACATAAATATCAATTGATACATTTTTATCCAAGTTGCAGCTGGGAGCTCGATTAACTGGGAAACAACACAGTTAAATGATATTACATTGTTCATAGTCACCACTCCAATTTCATTATCTGCACACTGAGGTAGAGAGTTACACTGAAAATTGTATGCTAAGAAATGCCACCAAATTAGCTCCCAGGAAAATCACTCAAGCTTGGCAAGTAATTTTCACTTTTTCTCTCAGGGACAGATTTCAAGTTTCACCTTAACATTTCCTTAGTTGCTTGGGTTGTGTACTTTGAGAAGGCAAATCCACTGGCACTTGGGGAAGCTTAGAACATAAATCAACATTATAGAAGGAAATACACAGCTAAAAGTTTTACTTTAATTAGAAACTCAATAACTTAGAAAGCTAAAAAGACATGCTAAATTTTTAACCAATCAGCAAAGATATGTGCCACAGATTTTAATGTGGCACATAATTTAGAATTTACTGCATAAATACAATATTTATAAATATATCCTTTATATGCAAAATTATTATTAAGACATTTCTCCCCAGTGCACAATTTTCATGTGTTTTAAGGAAAAAAATACCACCCCCTTTAAAAATATACCACTAAACTTTAATGTGTGATTACACCAGTGCCACTGAATAAGAGAAATGTACTGTTGTATTGGATATGTAGTCATTACTACAAATGACAATACATGTCCAATAGGTGATCACATACATCTTCCTGTTCCACTTTTCAGTCATTGTCAGAACCGTTTGGAGGTAAGAAAACCAGTGCATCATTGAAAATATGCCCAAATGCTCTAAGACGGTATACCCCATACATCATCACGTGCATCTGATTAGGAGTCAGTCCATTAAAAGTAACAGCCATATCTGAACAACATCCTTCCACTACCTGGTTGGGGTGATTAGTCATTGCCTCTTTAATAAAAAGGCCAACAGATTTGGTATTAAATACATCTTTTCCATCAGCATCTTCTGCATTTTCTGCAAACACTCCAGCATATTTCAGGCAAACTGCTAGCTGCTTATCTTCAGGTATCTTCCAAATCATCCCTCCCTGTTCGGGACACTTTTCAGGGATATTGAGAAGGCTGTTAAGTCTTTTCATCGATTCTATACTTAAGACAATTCCTCCTTCCACACCCACATATTCAAGGTCTCCAGATTTTATAGTGTGGCCTAGATAGAAGGGCTGTGATGGATCCTTTTTTAACAAAAAATACTTTAGGTTTTCAATAATGGCAAATGTAGTGGGTCGTGCAAGGAAGAACCAGTTGTACTGGTCTCTATACTTATCAAAGGCATACTTGTAAGCTTTTCTCATCATTAACCACATGTCGTTTGTTTCCATATTAATTGACTCAAATACTTTAACATTTTCAGAACTGAAGAACTCTGCTTTGTCACAGTGTTTGGTCCAAGTCTCCTTCACTGCAGCCCAAAGACTCACATCCTTGGGTTTTACAAGGATAATACAATATACTCGAAAGCTCTTACTGAGCTCCATGTGTTCATCCTCTGAAATTTTCAAGATATCTTCTTTGTTAGGAGCTTGTAGGTGATGATGCTCATGGTGGTGCATTCTATTTCCATGACCAATCCTAATATGTCCTAGCATAGTGATCAAAGCACAGAAAATGCTTCCAAGCATCACACCCTTCAAAAATGAGCTGCTTTCAGAAAGCATTTTTCCTACAAAGAAAAAAAAAAGACCCTTAAAATATGTAATAGAAAAGGATTAGTCTAGTAATTTGATTTGGTATTTCTTATATACTTACATTTTACTCATGATGCTAAAAAAAACAGGCTCCCAAAGCTTGAAATCAAGTAAGTTGCATATGATACCAAGGACTCTCAGAATCTTTAGCTTCCAATGGTATCATTACTGTTTGGTATAAATTGTAACTTTGCAACAACTCCTCTATGGAGAATTTGCTGTGGGAAGGCTATTTTTGCACTTCATCTATAGGGATTTAATTAACCAAGTACTAAAAGCATTAACCCTAGAAACCAATGTTACAGAGGCTGTCTGCCCATCATTCTCCTTAAAGAATTTTTCATCACAAAATTCATATTATATGACCATATTAGTCTATATTTATAATATACATATAAAATACCTCTGCAGATATAGACTTTTACACCAAAACATTAAATTGAACAGCTAAAACCATTTATAATTGAGAAATCACCAACAGTATCTGTGCTGATATTTCTGTTCTCAACAGTGTTTTGTTTAATTGATGGACGTTGTACTTAGATGTTTTGAGTATATGTTAATACTTACCCTTTAATTCCTAAGACCAAATGGTTTCAAATACAGTATACCAACTACTGATATAATAAAAGCTTGTAAAAAAAATAGTGAATTTTTGGATAAAAAAAAAAATCAATCAATATAGGCATATCTGGGGATCATTAATGAACATTTTTATTTCCACAAAAGGCATTTTCTTCTTCTTTGAAGAAGTAAAAAGGGAAAGTCTATACTTTTATTTCAATTAGAAATTAAAAGAAAAACCAACACTAAGTGCAACTGTTGAAAATAATTATATTCTAATCATTTATGCTAGTAAAGGCTAAAATTTTTAGCCAATCTCTCCTCCACCACCACAAAGAATTTTTTACTGAGCTACCTGGATTTTTCCATTTGTATCTTAAAGTTGAAAGAGGCCTTAGAAGCTACCTAATGTCATTTATCTCATTTTACAGATAGGGAAATGGAGGTCCACAGAGGTTAAATAACTTGCATAGCTAGTCAGTGGTAGAAGTGGACTAGAAACATCAGTTTAATGCTTTTTCTATCACAGAATAATCATCTCCATAGTGCTTCTACTATATTATTCAGAGTTTAATGAATTACTGAATAACCTTGTTTTCTTACAAATGGAGAAAAAAATGTGGGATCTGTTGACCATGACTGACATTTTGCACCCAATATCACCATATTGCTACAAGGAAACCATTCCCATGGTTTTCTTCTAGAGGAAATGGATTTTGACTTCTACCAGAAGGAAAAGGTGTAGAATAGCTTGGCAGATGTAATTCCTGAGTGGGGAAAGAAGCAGGATGGCTTTCCTGTGTCACTCACAGAACTTGATCAACACACACAGCTCCAAGAAAGAAAAATGACAATGGGACTGCAAACTAGTTCAACCTCTGTGGAAAGCAATATGGAGATACCTTAAAGCGATACAAGTGAATCTACCATTTGATCCAGCAATCCCATTGCTGGGCATCTACCCAAATGATCCAGTGACACTCTACAAAAAAGACACCTGCACTCGAATGTTTATAGCAGCACAATTCATAATTGCAAGGCTGTGGAAACAGCCCAAGTGCCCATCAATCCAAGAATGGATTAATAAAATGTGGTATATGTATACCATGGAGTACTATTCAGCTCTAAGAAACAATGGTGATATAGCACATCTTATATTTTCCTGGTTAGAGCTGGAACCCATACTACTAAGTGAAGTATCCCACGAATGGAAAAACAAGCACCAGATATATTCTCCAGCAAACTGGTATTAACTGAGTAGCACCTAAGTGGACACATAAGTGCTACAGTAATAGGGTATTGGGCAGGTGGGAGGGGGGCGGGTATATACATACATAATGAGTGAGATGTGCACCATCTGGGGGATGGTCATGATGGAGACTCAGACTTTTGGGGGGAGGGGGGAAATGAGCATTTATTGAAACCTTAAAATCTGTACCCCCATAATATGCCAAAATAAAAAAAAAGAAAAATGACAGAAAACAAGCTGTGATTAATATTAAAATTGTCAACACAGAGAGAAAAGCACATGAAGACACAAGAGAAGATGGTCATCTACAAGAAGCCTCAGAAGAAACCAAATTTGACACATTTACCTTTGACTTCTAGCCTTCAGAACTGTAAGGAAATAAATTTCTGTTGTTTAAGCCAAAAAAAAATTAAATTAAAAAATAGAATTATCAGATGAACTCTTAGTTTAAACAGAATTCTGCATTTCATATTACACAATTTTTTTTTATTTCTGGCCAGTATATAATTCACACATGGCTCTTCGCCCAATTATAGCATATGCATATGTCAGAATTCTTTCTGACGGGGATCTGCTCCTGGCTGCAAAAATATTTATCAAAATTCAAGAAGTCTAAACATTTCAAATAATATCACATGAACAAATGATTCTAAAGAGATTTTTTTTCACATTAGGGAGGCAAATAAAAAGTAACACTAGGAATGCACATGATAGGAAATCATTGTGTGCAAAGGAAAGGGAAACTAATTGCACACGAGCACAAATAAGGCAGAAACTACCCAACTGGTTTTTTAGATTAACCTTTCAGGAAGGTAAAGGTGGTTGGGCGGAGTACGGAAAAGGGAGGAGGACGAAATGAAGAAGAGAAATGAGAGGGACGGCACGGTGACCTCCAGACCACACTGAGAGGCCAAGCGAGGGTCCCCAGGAGGGCAGCTCTTCGTCTCCCGCGCTCACCATCCTCCCAGTGCACCTGCCCGGGCATCCCGCGTGGAGCATGCCAGGAGTGGGCTAGCACCCAGGCCTTCCCCAAGGGAAAGGAGTATCGGGGGGTCTGGCTGATCCGGGATGCGTTTGGGGTGGAGGTCAAGGCCCCAGCACTCACCCGCGTCTAGAACGGCTCGGGGGTAGGAAAGCGCAGCCGCGCGCGGCTTTACTCTCCGTTCGCGCGCGGCACTCGGTTACGCTCCTGGCCGGGCTGTTCTAGATGCAGGCGGTGTCCTCTCGTTGGTCTCGCTAAAAGTTGGGGAGGGCCAGGAAGCGGACGCCGCCGAGGGTAGCGGGGCGAGGCAAACGAGCCCTCAGCTGGGCGGAATGGTCTGTTCGCCCGCCCCCCCTGGCGCCGGAAGGGTCCATGGGCACGCAGCGCGCACGCAACGTGCCCTTTCTTCCCGCCCCGCGCCGAGTTCAGGGTAATACGTCCGGTTGGCGTGACCCGCACGCTCTCGTGTACCCAGTGGGACGCTCAGAGAGGCTGGCGTGCTTGTGACTCTCTGACACCTCCCACTTCTCCACGGCGTGGAAACTGCGAGAGCGAGAAAGAACCTTGTTCCCTGCAGCGCTTGTGTCAGTTCTCTCAATGGTTTCTCTGAGGTTCCCCGTCCTCTCCGCACCCTCATGTTGACGAGAGGGCGCTCTACCCAGTACTCCTGGGCTGGGACCAAAATGTAAGCCATTGAAGTAGTCACGGAATAATGACGTTAAAGACTTGCTATGGTTACTAGAATGGGATCTGAAGCCCCACTGCCTGGAATCCAATGCTGTCTTCACCACATCCTTTTATATCCTGGGAAAGTTACTGCACCTTGCTGTGCCTCAGTTTCCTCCTTTGTAAAGTATAGAAAATATCACAGTCGTGCCTATTTCATAGAAAAATGAATGAAAGAGTGCACATGACTCCCTTGGCAAAAGATCATGCATAGAGTAAGCATTTTCTAAATATTGACTGTTTTTATTTACCTTTGTATATAGTTCTTAGTTCCAGTACTCAGTAGAAAGTAAATATTTGTGGGATTAATGAATATTAGAGCTACAGATGAGGAACCAGGTCCAGAAAGGAAAGGGGACTTTTGAAAGGCGACACAGCAAATTAATGGCAGAGGTGGAACTAGAATCTAGGTCTTTTAATTACGAGAGCAAAGCTCTTTCCACTAAACATGTGCTTTGTCTTTTAAAATTCGTTTTTGTGGCAGAAAGGTTTTTGCCAAAAAGCACATTTTTTTTTTTACAAATATTTAAAATGTACCATTACTGGGTTCCATTCAAGTAACATCAAGTGGTGACTTACTGGCTCCTAAGTTCTTAGACCAGTATATATGAGTTTTGGCAGTGACCCAGTTTAAGTAGAGGGAAGGTTTCAGGGAGCACAGAAACAATGAACAAATAGATTTTAGGCAATTACTATCCTGGCAGCACTACCCTAAATTCTAAAGATACAGTGGCAAACAAAATAAGTCCCGTGTCTTTATGGAGCTCTCAGTCTAGCAGGGAAGAAAGACATTAAACAATTCATTACAATTAATTATAATGGTGGTATGTTTTCTAAAGGAATATAAAAATGAATTTTGGAACTGGAAAAGAACTGAAGACTGCAGAATATGTCCATTTTATTTTCTTAAGTAATATATATTTTTTATTGTCACTTATATAAATATATGTATGTACACACTTAAGTGAAACAAATTGCAGGGTAATGTATATAATATGATTATATTTTGGTGGAAACAAACGTGCATATAGATGTGATTTGTCTGAGGAAGGAGAATTGTGGAACGTTACTTAGCAGGCTATTAATTTTGATTACATCAGAAAGTTGAGGTGGGAGTGATTAACTTTGTCTTTATCGATCCTTGTAGTACGTTGTTTCACTGGTTATAAATAGGCATTTATTACTTTTGAATCTGAAGAACAGTAAATAAAGGGATCTTTAAAATTGGACAAAAAGAAAAAAAGGAAGATACCCGTAAAAATACCTTTTCTTTTTTTCTTTTTTTTTTTGTCAGAGAGGGCCTTCCTCTGTTGCTCACACTGGTGCTGTGGCATGATCCTAGCTGACTGCAACCTCAAACTCCTGGGTTGAAGTGATCCTCCTGCCTCAGCCTCCCAAGCAGCTGGGCCTACAGGTATGGGCCACCACACCCAGCTAATTTTTCTATTTTTTATAGAGATGGGGTCTCTTGTGTTCCTCAGGCTAGTAGTCTTGAACTTCTGTCCTTAAGGCTGTCCTCCTGCCTTGGCCTTCCAGAGTGCTAGGATTACAGGTGTTAGCCAAGACACCCAGCCAAAAATACCTTTTAAAGAATGCAGAGAACCAGTTTCTCCTTTCAAAGAGGGACCAAGGAAGGACAGATAGAAATGACATTCTGAATTCAGATGGTAACAAGGAGAAAATGTAAAATGTTTCTTCCTAAAAAAGCATAGCTACATTCTGAGAAATGTCTCTAGGTGAAAAAATTAAAAAATTCAAAAAGAATAACTATGAGGTGATGGATATATTAATTAGCTTGGTTGTGGTAATCATTTCACAATGTATATATCAAATCATCACATTGTACACCTTAAATATCTATAATTTTTATTGTCAAACGTACCTCAATAAAGCTGGGGAAAAAAATAAAATGATTCATTTAGTACAGGAAGGTACTGTATACCAAACTGCAAGTAATAATGATACAAGATACTATGAAACAGAATAAATCACAAGATTTTTTTTTCCAGAGTCTTACTCTGTTGCCTAGGCTAGAGTGCCATGGCATCAGCCTATCTCACAGCAACCTCCAGCTCCTGGGCTCAAGTGATTCTCCTGCCTCAGCCTCCCAAGCAGCTGGGACTACAGGCGAGCACCATTATGCTCAGCTAATTTCTATTTTTTAGTATAGATGGGTCTCACTCTTGCTCAGGCTTGAACTCCTAACCTCAAGCAATTCTCTTGTATCCACCTCCCAGAGTGCTAGGATTAAAGGCGTGAGCCATCGCGCCCGGCCTATAGTTAGGTGATTGCATTTTTTTTTTCACACTGTAATATCTTTAATTAAGTACAAATAACTTTTTAACATGTTATTATGTTACATGGAGACCATTTCACCCACTGCTCTGTTTGGCTGCCAGTCTCTTATCCCTCTCTTCAGCAATGGTGAGGCGGATACCTTTTCCTCGAGGAAGAGAAATCCATGGTTTGTTGCCTTTGCCAATAACGAAAATGTTGGAGAGGCGAGTGGCAAAGCTGTTGCCATTGGCATCTTTCACGTGAACCACATCAAAAGACCTGGGATGTCTTTCTCTGTTGGTGATCACACCAATTCTTCCCAAGTTAGCACCTCCAGTCACCATACACAGGTTACCAGTGTCAAACTTGATGAAATCAGTAATCTTGCCAGTCTCCAAATCAATCTGAATGGTGTCATTCACTTTGATGAGTGGATCAGGATAGCGGATGGTACGAGCATCATGAGTCACCAGATGAGGGATTCCTTTTGTGCCCACAAAGATTTTTCTCACTTTGCACAACTTGTACTTGGCCTCCTCAGGTGTGATACGATGAACAGCAAAGCGACCCTTGGTGTCATAAATCAGACGGAAATTCTCTCCAGTCTTGTCAATGCTGATGACATCCATAAATCCAGCAGGGTAGGTTATATCAGTTCGGACCATGCCATCGATTTTAATGAAGCGCTGCATGCAGATCTTCTTCACTTCATCTCCTGTCAGGGCATACTTAAGCCTGTTTCTTAGGAAAATGATGAGTGGGAGACACTCTCTCAGCTTGTGGGGACCAGTGGATGGACGAGGAGCAAACACACCGGTCAGCTTATCCAGCATCCAATGCTTTGGAGCTGCTACACACTTCAGATGCTTCTTGGGACCGCGGGCCATGGCTGCGCTAAGCACGGAAAGAGGTTGATTGCATTTTTTAAGCAACATTTCATATTGTACCCCTAATTTAAAAAATATATGCAATCAGGCCAGGTGAGGTGGCTCATGTCTGTAATCCTAGCACTCTGGGAGGCCGAGACGGGTGGATCACTCAAGATCAGGAGTTTGAAACCAGCCTGAGCAAGAGCAAGACCATCTCTACTAAAAATAGAAAGAAATTAATTGGCCAATTAAAAATATATAGAAAAAATTAGCCAGGCTTGGTGGCGCATACCTGTAGTCCCAGCCACTCGGGAGACTGAGGCAGGAGGATCGCTTCAGCCCAGGAGTTTGAGGTTGCTGTGAGCTAGGCTGACGCCATGGCACTCTAGCCTGGGCAACGGAGTGAGACTCTGTCTCAAAAAATATATATATATGCAATTAGTGTCTATTAAAATTAAGAGATCATACTCTTTGGCCCAGCAAACTCACTTCTAGTAATCTTTCCCACAGAAATTAAAGCATCAGTATGTAAGGCTAAATGTACTTATATAAAGGCAAAAGCATTATTTAAAATAGCAAAAGTGGTAAATATCTATTAATAATAGAATGGTTGAATTCATTATGGTAAATCATATAATTGAATATTAAGCATAAAAGTGACAAAGAGCTTATTTCACTAACCTGCACTAAACACACTAAACTGTACCTTGTGTGGGAGGGTTGCTTTTGGATTTGGTTTCCTTCATATATGCAGCAGGTAAGGCAAGATTGCATTCAAAACTGACAACACTGCATTTTTAGTAAGCTACTTCTGTCAAGTGCATGCATTATTCAGCATGAGAAGTCATTAATTTCCAGTAATTGGCTATTCACTTGTACAAGAACACTCAAATCTGTCCAAAGGCCTTTGGGAAATTAACACAACTTTCTACAACAATTCACTGGATTAGTAAATATCAAAGAAAATCTAAGGTGGATTGTTTTCTGCATAACAACTTTTTGGAGGGTTAAAAATGTGTTCTTTGATTATCTAAATAAAGTACCTATATGTACCTCTTCTGCCCAGTTTCTCAACTATTCATCTTCAATAAACTCTCTTGATCTGAACAAATCTATTATTGTTTCCATTTGAGTGTACTGTGATCTCTAAATGAATCTCATTTGTGTGTGCAGGCATATTCATGCTTGAAATCTCATTTCAAAAATATTTTTCTGGCCGGGCGCAGTGGCTCACGCCTGTAATCCTAGCTCTCTGGGAGGCCGAGGCGGACGGATCCTTTGAGCTCAGGAGTTCGAAACCAACCTGAGCAAGAGCAAGACCCTGTCTCTACTATAAATAGAAAGAAATTAATTGGCCAACTAATATATATAGAAAAAATTAGCTGGGCGTGGTGGCGCATGCCTGTACTCCCAGCTACTTGAGAGGCTGAGGCAGGAGGATCGCTTGAGCCCAGGAGTTTGAGGTTGCTGTGAGCTAGGCTGACGCCACAGCACTCACTCTAGTCTGGGC